TTATTTACATTTCCCCCTAAAGCTCAGAGACAGCTAGCTCTACTTTATTGCTGATACCTATTATACACTTGTTCCAACGATTATCAGGAAAGTGACAACTCACAACATTTAAATTATGATTTTTTTATGTCACCCGTACAACAATATTTTATATGTATTAAAGACAGATAACAAGTTAGTAAACAAGTTAGAGTGGCACAGTTTACACATACAGCAACCGTTTACAAAATAAGCAAACACATTTTCAAGAAAAAATATATTTTATATTCTCCTTTAAACTCAAGTCCCGACTCATCTCATGTCCGTTGGTTCCTAAAAAATCTTGCCTCATTTTACAATTACATACAATATACTTTAAGATTTTATTCCTCCTTACTCTGCGAAGAAATGTGTTGATTGCTTCTAACTTTAAGACAGATTTTTTAAATGGATCAGATTTTTTCTAACCTGAATGCGCTAAAATATATCTCATACCTTCACTCATTTGCCGTTCTGAAGATAAATAGTTTGATTTCTGCATTCTTCTCTGTTTTGGATATCCAATTATCAATTTGCCAACATGGAATTTTCATACAAGATTTTTCGTTTTTATCCGACAATTGTATTTCCGTTTTTAGAACGTCCTCGCGTGTAAGTTCCTTCTCACAAGATGACACTGCAGCTATCAATGTGTTAGTTACATTGAAATCCCCATTTTCTACCGTAACACGAACATAGTAATCATGGTTGGGCTTACCAATTGGTGTGGTCAAAAAGTATGTCTTGTAATTATCTGTTGCTTCATCCCAAACTATCAGAATCCAAAACAAACTGTCAAACAACCATACTGGAGTGTACGTAGGTAGATTTAAAAAGTTTAATCCCTCTACAGACCTCTCTGTAATGATGTCGACATCCTCATGATGCTCCTTGTAATGATCCAATACCTTCACCACTGGCATTTCAACAGTACAAGTAAGCATTCTACACACAATCGGTCTGTAGCCACAGAACTCCTCATGATCATTACCTGGTTTTACAACTTCCTCACATCCATCTTGACTGTAGTTACAACTGCGTGGCTGAGCTTTCATTATATTTCTAAGACAAACTGGACTTTCCAGTATTAACGACTCTTCACATGTAGGGCATTTTCGTATCTTAGTGGTACATGACAAACATACCTCATGACCACTAGAGCACAGTTGAACAGGAAATTTTACAGTTTCTAAACACACTGGACACTTGACAAACTTTTCAACTGCGGTTAAAATGGATTTAGAAATTTCACCTGTATCACTTGCACCTGCCATCATTGCTAGAATTAAATATAAAACATCCGATACGTCGCCTCGAGGTGGTAGAGCACTTGATGGGTCGGACTCATCTCTGGAACATGAGCTTATCTTCTGTGACAGTCAGACAGAATTGTGACGGCCACATACAGATTGGCCAATGGTTTAAGGGTTGTTTCTAACATACAGATTGACCAAAGGTCCTAATGAGCAGGGGCAAAAAATGGGGGAGGAGCTTACAGCAGCGATGTCCCGTGGGGGAGGAGCTTGTCTATTCAAGTCAAGTGTTTGTTAACTTTTTCTAATCTTACCAGTCACAGAGGTGGCCAAACTCAAGAGACGAATTTTATTTTTTAAAACACTAAGTTTTATGTAAACTGTTAATCAGAATTCATTGTCCTAATTCTGGATATTGCTTTATATTAATTAAATTGTTTTGTTACCCTACAATATCCATTTTGGGGTTGGTAGATAACTACATGTTTCGTGGCGACTGCCACATCCGCGTGCACGCGTTTGGTCGGGCCGCGTAGTTATCTACCAACACTAAAAATGATATTGTAACTAAATTGATATTGTTTACATCAATTTAATTAAACTGTTTTAAGGTTTTTACATTCAACTGTAGCTTAAACAAAACAGTGCGATATTCTAATACAAATAATAGGCTATAAAATCTAACTAATTGCTTATAAACTCACTATCAATTTGTTTGACCTAGTTATAGCAATAAGGATAATGTCACCATTTAAAAGTCCTGAAGTGTTCTTTCAAAATTCAAAGCATAAGCATTCTCGTTTTTATGTGTATACACCACATTGTTTGAAAATTACCTTGAATATCTGTCTTAGTATTTCGCACACGATGTTCATTTTTAAGTTCACAAAACCAATCTAGCAATATTCATTATAGGAGTAGTATTTTAACAAAAGTTAAAAAAAGGAAAAATATATTCCATTGGAAGTGAAATAACCCGAATAAAATGTTCTACCACAGAGTATAAAAATCTACTCACTTATTCAACATTTACGTAAACCAAAAATTAAAATTCTAAACTTCAAATAATTCTCAACATTTTACCTTAAAATCCTGAAATAAATAATAATTTGTTATTGATATTCAGTCAGCTACATTTTCAGTTGCCGCTAAAAGAAAACAATAACTCCTAATTGGAGGTATTATTCCGTTTGGATATCCCGTGAAAGCATATAACCTCGTCATATTAACTTCAAAAACTGCATAGTTTGTGCTGAATTCTGTTGTCAATCATCTGAACTTTTTCAAGTTTACAATGAAATTTTGTTTACATCAAAACATATGTCCATAGTACAATTTTTTTACATCCATACGGAAATTGGGTTATCTGTAAGTCGGTGATGTTTAAGTTAAATCAAGGAAAAATTTGTATTATTTTTTATCAAATGTAAAGAAGAAAATGGTTTACGTTAGATTTTGTGTTTTCATGGTATGTGTCATTAGTATTATTAATCTTTCTAAGTTGCCTTGAAGAGATCGCGCACGCAATGGAAATAATAGAGATACGATGAGACATCATGTTTTCACCCTTAAAAACTACAATATATCGTAGTACTTATATTGTGAAATTTTGTGAGTTTGTTTGTTTGTTTGATATCCAATCACGCATTAACTACTGGTCGGATCGGGTTGAAATTTGGTATGAAGATAGCTTACATTCCCGATTAACATATCTAGACATATTCTTATCCCAAAAATCATTTCGGGCTCTGCCCCAATGGCTCCATAGTTTCCCATGTTAACCTTATGAGTATTCATATTTAAAATGAATTAAAAAATGTTGTCAGCTTTTTCAACTACACAAGTTGGTTCTACGATATTCAATAGCATTAAAGAGACCACCTCTGTATCTGGTAAGATTAGAAAACGTTAACAAACAGTTTACTTGAGTAGACTAGCTCCTCCCCTACGGGACATCGCTGCTGTAAGCTCCTCCCCCATTTTTTGCCCCTGCTCATTAGGACCTTTGGTCAATCTGTATGTTAGAAAAGACCCTCGAACCATTGGCCAATCTGTACGCGCGCATTGTGACTGACCCTTGGACAAACTTATCCTTATCTGTTGGAAGCAACCCTAACCTTTATCAGCTGGACCTTGACTGGTACATATTTGGGATTGACGAATATTGATGTTTTTCCCACTACAGGGCCAGGAGGACGGTGGCCACAAAAGACTGAATCACTCGTGTCAAAATTTAACTGTTATTTTTATTGATTATATATATTTTTGAATATATTCTTAGGTATTACTGTCATAAAATGTAAATAAGTTTGTGCACACATATTGCTCACAATGCATTTTTATCAGCAAATAGTTGTAGGCATAGGGTAGGAAGTTTGTTTTTGAAATAATAGTGAAAAATTTCTTAATCAGCAAATTACCTGAAAGTTAAAAAAAATTATGTCTAATCACATTTGTAATTACATATTTACACTTTATACTGTTTACTCACAAAACGGTAAAGAGATATAAAAGATGATAAGTGGTGATCGATTTCGATTGGACAACCTAAACTCCAATCATCATCAAACCCAATAGGCGAATGACTGTCATTCGCCTATTGTTATTTGACGTATCTTTGTACTTTCAGGGAAATAATAGTGTAAAAGATAACACAACACAACATGCCTATTCTTTCACAATACGAAACACAGCAACCAAAGTTTTAACTTTTTGTGTTGAAAATTTGTGATAAAAATCTACGTTCTTTTACTTATTTTTCATTGTTTCAATAATACAACAACTTAACTTATGTATTTTTTAGATTACTTGAAAGCTAATTTTAGCTATTAGATTAACAAACAACAAGGAAGTGTTCTATGGTAAAAAGAGGAATATAATATTTACGAAAAGTTAACTTTATTGATTTACTGTATTTTGCTACATGTTGTAAAACATGTAGATATGAATCGACGTGGTTTATGGTGTGGTCATTGGTCAAATCAACTACTTTCGAATCTGAATTGTAAAAAGATCGAGAGACAGGTTTTACAAAACACAAGGATGTTATCAACTAGGAAATGATTTAATAATCAATTATTATTATTTTAAATAAATTCCAAACTAACTATTTACTTCAAAAACTGTTTTTAGCGTCATGATCCTCTCCCACAATCATAGCAGCATCACTAGTATTATTTTGTTATAAACTCTGGTGTATGTTACTTTAGTGAATATACTGTATATTATGTGATTTAATAAACGGTATCAGCAATATGTTACATACTTTCTCCCACTATGTCAACAACCCCTTATCATGGCATATGGGTAAGCAGAGAGAGTAACTTTAATAATTTATTGGGACAATCACAACAGTTGTTATCACTTTTATACCGTAATGGTTACAGCAATAGGGGTTGTACCAACACGTTTAGAGTTAAACGGGCTATAGCATTCATAACATTTAAATCAAAATTGGTCGAGTAGTTTTTGTATCCGGTTTGTTCGTGAATTAATAGATTTGGGGAAAATTACAAAAGTAGTACAGTAATAGCTTTTGAACAGAAATTTTTACAGAAATGGAGTTATACCATCTTGTTCAGAATTTTTGTTCTGAGTTATTCAGAAATTTTAATCAAAATCGTTCGGGTCAATTTTGAGAGATTTTTTTCGTTATTTTATTAACATTAAAATCAAAACGTCTTAAAATGAAAAAAAAAATGGAGATACCGTGGATTAGTACCCACTTACCGAATTTCGTCAACATCTGATCACAGGTGTGGTCTGATGGTCTGTGGTCACGTGTGTAGCTCTGTACACATTACACATTCACACACAGACAGACAGACAGACACACACACACACACATACACCATATTGCACAGCTGGCCATATTGAAATCTTAAACAGGATTCAAACACGATTTCTAAAACTACTGGGTCTGAAACTCGGGTTTCCTTTCCTCGACGTTCCTGTAGCAGCTCTCGAGGTGCACTTTGGCCTTCAACCACTTCCCCTGAGACGACAAGTCAACGACATTGTATTCCTTTTCAAAGTGGCAAATGGGATCATTGTTTGCCCCGAACTCTTGAACGAAGTGGACTTTAACGCTCCCAGAGGAACCCGATCCAGAGCTGTCTTCAGAAGGAGATATCAGCCCACGAACTACTGTATACCCTTCACCACGGAATCTCCAGACTGCTGAGATTTAGCGAAGACGTCTGCCCACACTTGGATTTCTTTGGGCCATCACCAGCATCCTTCAGACGTGATGTCCAGAGGCTGCTCTTCTGACACCTCTCCGCTCTCTATCAGTGTTGGTTATTTGGTGGTGCCTCTAAAGGGCCACATGCTGGGTGCCGGGAAGTGCCGATTCGTGTCAAGTGATGGGATTTGTGCTCTTGGAGTTCCTTGGTGGTGCCTTTAGAGGGCCACACGCTCAACAGTGTTAAGTGCTGAAATGTCTTGTTGTCAGCATTCTATCAAAAAGTTTTGTTTACCTCCAGATGCATACTTTTGTTATATAGTTTTGTTTTTATGTTACGTTAGCTTTTTCACAGATTATTATGTTGTTATCTATTGCCTTAGTTTATTATTGTTATGTAGTAGTAAAATTATTAATGTTAATTATTTACAATGTTGTCATTTTGATACTTAGGTACTGATTGTTATTGATGTTAATTATTTACACTGTTTCTTGTTATTGTTACTTTTTTTCACAATGTTGTAACTGTTGCAATTTTACTCAAACTGTTCACCACCACCAGCAAATTTCTTAATCATTTATTAATGTTTTCTATTGTATTATCTTGTTGCATGTAAATCTTGTCTAATGTATTATTTTGTAAAATGGCGACTGCCGTCGAAATGAATGAATACATAAATAAATACACCTACACGCACGTCTACAACTTCAGTGAGCATTCCTAGCATACACTCTGCAGGAGTCCACGCTGAAATGAGTTACATTTCCTGCTGTCGATGATCGCATTCTTCTATTTTAAGTTGGCGAGACGACGCGACGTTCAGTTCTCCACGTGGGTTTTAACGTTGGTTTTTACTACCTAATCTGACCTTTAAGCAAGCAACCTGCATTGGACATGGTTTATTGGTTATTAAAAAGTTTATGGTTACAGATTCCCGTTAAACACATTTTATACGTTGCTGCCCTTAATCACTGGGCTTTTAATAAATGGTCCAGGCTAGAAGGCTGCTGATGTTATATAGTCTGTGCTTCACACGGTATGCTCCTATTTAAGATTTCCTTCTGACTCCTTGCGGGACGTCCCCATGATATGACAGAAAATTCATAGTTCCTTGAGAAAGTAGATTTTTAGGTGTGGTGTTGATGTACCAAATCTTATTGATTTATCTGTTGTCGTTTGGAAAATATTAAGCCCGTGCGGGACTTTATATACACCCTGTACTGTATAATGAAATATGAACATCTCTGAAGTATATTTACGTTGACAACCAAATTAAATATAATACGGGCTACGTAGTATGTTTATAAACATTCAAGGAATGGAAAATGAGAAAACTAATGTCCTCCATACTTATACAGTATTGGGTTCCTGTACTAAGAACTACAGTTTGTTGCTCGCACTAGCCTTGAATCTTGACTCTTAGTCCATCTTATATCAAAATGGGAAACTGGAGGGATAAATATTTCAAAAAGTTCCCTCGCTACCTGGCAGAACTCTCGTGGTGGTTCGATTGGTTCAATTGTTTTACAACTCTGTGAAACTGACCCTGATAATCCGCTCTCGTGGCGGTTCAAGTCAGGGTTCAAGTAGCCTATCTCGGGACGGTCATAAAACTCGTGGTTCAATATTCCCCGGACTCACAATGACTGAGCTAGGGATGAGCATCGATAGTAGTAGTTTTAGAAAAATCTATGTTTTTCTATCGATGTTCAATATTTTTACGTCTATGGTAGATAATCGATGTTTCCGTCGAACATCGATGTTTTTAGCCAAGTATTGAATTATCGATGTTTTTTATGACTGTATTGTTTTAGGTTAATTAGCTGTTGCAGTAGAGAGAGCAGACTAAAAACTAAAAAAAAACATCGATTGACATTTTTTATGTTTTTGCCCCGAAAACATCGATGTTTTCGCGACGATGTTATCGGTACATCGATGTTTGACCTATCATCGATGATGATCCCTAGACTGAGCTGTTGTAGTCTGTGAGCTGCTAGGTAAATAAAACATATTATTGGAATTTCTTACATTTTTTATGATTTTCTGTTTTTATTTCATTGTTATTTCGTAACCAGCATGGCAACCCATAAGGCCCTTGTTAATAATTTAATTCCTACTACATACAGTAATTAATTTGTGTTGCGTCAGAAAGTTGAAAGATCAAATCCTTTTACGGATCACCTATACGCTGTTGTCCTCTTGTCTCCTGATCAATGGTTGTACTATGAAAGCCACAAACAAGGGAATCCTGACCTACCTGATCACCTTCACTGACATAATAAGTGTGTTTCAATAAAAACTTTCAATAAAACGAATTATTAATTACTGTGTGATTAAATAAAAACACAAATAAGGTCCAGTATTTGTAAAGCAAAACCTAAAATGCTAAGCAAATAAACATGAATTAAGTAGATCAAAAAACGATCAGTTTTATCATGAGAACGCGTTTTATCATTGACTTCAGACATAGGTTTCTGTTACAATGGCAAATGATTATACTGTATGTATTAAACTAATAGTTGCAGAACATTTAAGTATAGTGCCAGTTCTTTGTGAATGTGTTAAAAGTCCTTGGAGCCTAGATCATTGACTATATAAACACTAGTCAATGCCTAGACGTACTGGTAAATAACTCTTCAGCAGCAGTTTGAAATTATCCAAGATGGCCGCTAGCTCTGTAAGGACACTTATGAGTCCTTGGAGCCTAGACGTCATAAAACGCAACTCGACGTCATAAAACAATTACAAAAGTAGAAAGAAAATTTCTAATCCTACAGTGCACTAGATATTTAAATTACAATCACTTAGGTATTTGAAAAAATATTTTGAGATCGTAAATAAATAACTCTTCAGCGGTTGTTTAAAATTAACAACATTAACATTGCTATATTTATAAATTGCTTATCTTATAAGCATTGTTTTTTTTGACAAATCCAAGATGGCCGTTAGCCTCCATGGACTCCATTTGAAAACAATTAAAACTTGTTGTGTTTTAAATAAAGAATAGATTTGAATAACTTAATGAACTCATTTTATTAAGATGTAAACAGAAAAACAAAACTGTAAAATCAAAACATAAACAATCATATTAAAATAATGATCAGCTGGTATAGCAATCCTCCTCCTTTATTTTTCTTCATATACTTACAATCTTCTTATTTGGTCCACATGTCTTTTACACACAATTCCTTCTTCCATTTTAACAAGATAAATAACATTTCCTATTTGTTTTTCAATTTTTCCAACTGTCCATTTGTCATTTGAATTAAGGGAGTAGTTCCTCACCAGCACTCCCTCTCCTATATTAAAGTGTCGCTTTGTTACTTGCATCTCTGTCTCTTTCAAATTAGGCTTCTCTACTAATAGATCAAGTTCTGTTCTTATATTCCTCCCAAACATGAGGCTATAGGGAGACTTCCCAGTCGTGGAATGCTGTGTTTTTCTCAACTGTTTTAGTATAGTGTTAATCTTGCTCTCGACACATCCATTTGCAATTATAAGGCTCTTCACAGTTTGGACCACCCTTTCAGCTTGTCCATTTGACTTAGGACAAAATGGAGCTATGGTTTTTTGTATTATTCCATACCTTGTGAGAAAATCTTTGAAAGGTTTTGAAGTTAGCTGAGTTCCATTGTCTGATACCAGGACATGAGGAAACCCGAAGGTTGTAAATAATCTATCCAATTGCTTAACACACCAAGCTGTGGTTGTAGATTTTGTAGGTATAATTTCTACCCACTTACTGTAAGCGTCAACGACGATTAAGTACCACCAACCCCGCAGTGGACCAGCAAAATCAATGTGTATGCGTTCCCAAGGTCCGTTCGGGAGCTCCCATGGGTGAGTTGTCTCCTTAGGTGGATTTTTCAATTTTTGTTGACATGAATGACAATGTTTCACCATAGCTTCAATTTCTTGATCCATATTCCTCCAATAACAGTAGCTTCTAGCTAGCAATTTCATTTTTGTCATGCCCATATGACCAGCATGTAATTCTTCCAAGACTTGTTTGTGTAAAGTGGAAGGTACACAAATTCTATGCCCTCTGAATATGCAACCGTCTTGTAGACAAAACTCATTATCATTCAAACTGAGTTCTTTTAAGCTTTTTCCTGATATAAGATGATCGTATACCTTTTTAAGTTCCTCGTCCTTTTGTGTTTCTTCTTCAATTTGTCTTCTTGATACAGGCATCATCTCTACTTGATTTATTAGATACCGTTCATGGTCGTCACATACATTTGATACTTCTGTAACAGGAAATCTTGATAAATAATCCACATTAGCATGTTGTGTCGTACTTCGGTATTCAATCGTATAGTCAAAACCCGATAAGAAATGAGCATAATTAAAAAATCCTTGATGCAGTCATAGATGGTAAGGTCTTTGTCGGGTTGAAGATGGCTACAAGGGGTTTGTGATCAGTTATTAAAACAAACTTCCTTCCATAACAGTATGCAAAGAATTTCTTTAAGCCCCAGTAAATTCCCACAGCTTCTTTATCTATCTGACTGTATTTGCGTTCTGTTTTCGTAAGCGATCTTGATGCAAATGCAATGGGCCTCTCAGATCCATCCTTGTATCTATGTGATAAGCAAGCTCCTAGCCCTGTAGGACTTGCATCTGTTGCTAGGATTAACGTTTCATTTGGGTCATAGTGAGCTAGAGTTTGATCACTTGTTATTTCTGCTTTTACTTTCAGAAATGCATCTTCACATTCTTGAGTCCACGTAAATTGTTTTCCTTGCCGTAACAAACCATTCAGTGGTTCCAGTAAGCTGGACATGTTTGGTACAAAACGTGTGTAATAGTTGGCAAGACCCAAAAATACTCTTAGCTGGTGTACATCACTTGGTCGTTTGGCTTTAATTATAGCTTCGATATTATCAGCAGATTTGTGTAAGCCATTTTCGTCTATGACATGTCCTAAATATTTGACACTCTTCTGGAAAAATTTACATTTGTCACGATTCAAGCGCAAGTTAAACTGTTTGATTCTTCCAAAAACTTTCTGTAGGCGATCTAATGTCTCTGAAATAGTGCTCCCCTGTATCAAAATATCGTCAAAAAAACAAACTGTACCTTCCAGACCGTGGAGAACCTTATCCATAAACCGTTGCCAAATACTTGGTGCAACTTTTATGCCAAACATCATTCGATTTACTCTATAAAGTCCCAGATGTGTACTTATGGTCTGTATTTCTCTAGATTCTTCGTCCATCGGAAGGTGTAGATAAGCATTACTTATGTCTAATGTGCAGAAATATCGACCTTTATTCATGTTAGAAAAAATATCTTCAATTCGCGGGATTGGGTATTTGTCGTCACATATAAGTTTGTTTGCCGTCACTTTGTAGTCAGCAAAAATTCTTACGTTTCCATTTGCCTTTCTTACTGGAACAATAGGAGTTCCCCATTTTGAATTTTCAACTTTTGATATTATTCCATTACTCTCCAGTCTATTTAGTTCTTCTTCAACTGATTTCTTCAATGCGTAAGGAACTTGTCGAGGTTTGATAAAAATAGGTCTAGCTCCTTCTTTTAACTCTATGTGACCTTGTTCTGATGTAATTTTTCCGATTCCAGGAGTGAAAATTTCTTGAAACTCTGTCAATAGTTTGTCCAATTTTTCTGAACAATCACTTTCAACCACTTTGATATCTGCCCAATCCATTTTTACTTCTCTCAGCCACTCTCTTCCAAATATTGGCTCAACCTTTTGTCTCAGGACATACAACTTTCCATAGAAATTAAAATCTCTGTATTTACAATCGACAAAACAAACTCCAAGAGGCTTGATGATTTCACCAGTATATGTTTTCATTTCAACAGCGGTTTTGAAAAGACGTTTATTTACATGTAGTGATTGAAAATCGCTGTAAGATATTGAGCTTAACGCTGCTCCTGTATCAAGTTCCATCTTCAGCTTCTTTCCCTCAATGTCCACATCTATTAAAAACTTATCACTTCCAGATGAAGTTGATCCCATTGTATAAACCTCGTGGATCGATGAATGGTTGTCCTCAATATCAATTAAGTTTGATTTCAATTCCTTGTTTTTCCCAGTTCTTACATCAGTTCCACTTCTAGATAAGCAAACCCTTGAAATATGTCCAATCTTATTACATTTCCTACAGAATTCGTTCTTAAATCTGCATAAATTAGCCTTGTGCTGTTCACTGCCACACCTGTAACACTTGCCTCTTAAATCTTCAAATGAAACTATGGGTTTGTTTCCCTTAAATTGACTTTGTTTGTCTTTGTATCCAGATTGTAGGCGGTTAATGTTTGCAGTTTCTTTTAGCATTGTATTTCCATCTCTCCGGTTAATCTCATAACTTTCAGATTTAGATTGTTCTATGGAAATCGCAGTTTGTACCACTTCGTTGTAAGAAATTTTACCATCTTTTTCTGGAAGAAGTCTAATTCTAATTTCATTGTCTTTTAACCCCCGTATGAACTGCATTTTTAAGAACATATCACTTACCGTACTTTCACAGTTATAACAATAAAAATCACAGTCCGTTGCTAACCGTTTAAGTTCTCTGGCATATACGGCTATGTTCTCTCCAGGTTCTTGAACCTTGCAAACAAATTTATGTTGGTTAGCTAGTATGCTAGGTGAAGGCTCAAGACAATTTTTCAAAGATTCTGTGAGTTCATTGAAGGTTTTGTCACCTGGTAACTCAGGAGCTAATGTATCACACAATGTTTGGTGCATCTCTGGAGAAAGTGTACTGACAAACAAACATGTCTTGGTCTTTTCATCTGTAATTTTCTTTAACTGAAAATAGTTTTCAAGTCTCATCAAAAAGTTTTTAAATGTCTCGTTCTCTGTGTAAGGTGTAAAGTTAATGTTAGGTACATGGCTATCGTGTGCAACTGATATAGAAGTTGTGTGTTCATCTGTAGATTTGTTCGGTATAAAGAATGGCTGTAACAATGCTCTTATCTCTAAATATACCTCTTCTACATCAGCCCTGTAATCTTCTTCTTGTTCAAAATCATCTTCATCTTCTATTTGTAAAATATCTTCGTGTAGTGAGATGAATTTATGCCAAGCTTCCTCTGCTACATTTAATCTGCCAGGAGCATCATTGACTGATGAACCCTTGCTTTTTAATAGGTGTAGAGTTCTTGTAATCTGGCCTTTTAGTGCTCCTCTTTTATGTTTCAGTCTTCTGATATCATTTCTTTCATCACTCGTCGCCATTTGTTGTGTTTTAAATAAAGAATAGATTTGAATAACTTAATGAACTCATTTTATTAAGATGTAAACAGAAAAACAAAACTGTAAAATCAAAACATAAACAATCATATTAAAATAATGATCAGCTGGTATAGCAAAACTACAAAGAAAATTTCTGATCTCACAGTGCACTAGATATTTAAATTACGATCACTTTGGGATTTGTAACAAATATTTTTTGACGATAAATAACTCTTTAACGTTTGAAATAATCCAAGATGGCCACTAGCCTTCAAGGACTCTTGAACAGAAGTAAATTTCACTATCGCTGAGCTAAAAAAGCGTCTCGTATTCTCTATCCAAATCGGTTTTGCGACACCCGACCTCATCACCACAGTCCTCCTTCGGTTACTTGGTATCAGGAGAATAGAAGTGTCAAACAGTTAATGTTGTATACTGTACCAACAGTTTTGGAATTATTTGGTAAAGAACCAACCATAGAACTGAATTGCAAACGGTAGCATACTTCGTAACTAGGGCCGAAAATTAGGTTTTGCCGGCTCGAGATAAGTTTTAAGTTAAAGTCGAGAACTTTAAAACGACCGAGAGCTGCAAAACCATTTCGGTCCGTGGAACGAACGCTATCCACCACACTATAACTCTATTATATAGGCCTACCACTATTCACCAGAATAACAATGCACACTAACAGTCAACTTTAAAGTTATGTGAAGAAATAATTTGAGGAATCAGCAAAAATAATATTAAATAGTTGCTAGGCAGCGGTGACAAAAAAACAATTACAGTATCTTGCAAAGCATAATATGGATAATGCTTGTGTTTTTAATATAGGTACACAATGCTTTAACTATGTTTTTAAGTATGTTATTAAGTAAATAAGTGAACAGCTGATTTTTGGCCATAGGGATGTAAACCCTGCTCGGTCCCCAAATACGATGACAGCAGCTGGCATGGAATGGACAAAATTACGTAGCTTTCGGCCCCCAATAAACGTTTAGTTGTAACATCGGCATAATGTTATTATAAGTCACGGTTTGCAACATTAACGGCTAAAAACATCGTAGTGTGAGGAAAACACTTTTCTAATTACTATAATAACAATTGAGCACCAAGCTGTTTTAGGACAAATTTCTTAGTAATGTTTTGAAAATAGTAAAGTGTAGGCAGTACTTTTAGACTAGTAATTTGGCTATTCCATAGGGAGTATTTAATTGTATTGAATTTTTCAAAGGAAACCATTTATTTTTCGTTACTAATTAGTTTAAGTAATCAGTTTAAGCATATAGTTGCATAAAGCAAAAATAAAACGCTTAATTTTTAAACCGGTGTCCTAAATTTATGTTCGAGTTGACAGTTTAATATGAACTTGTTTTGTTCGAGATACAATCAAAATACCAAGTGTAGATAATCAAATGTTTATTGATAAAAGTACTGAAAAACCAAACTTTAAACTGTATATTAGAAATCATTTTAATAAAATGGTTGCGGGCACTGTGGTAATGTATTTTTTCTTATAACAATTCTAAACTATAAAATAATCAAACATATAGGCATATTCTATAATTTAGTTTTAGACAAATCTTGGGACTGAGCTTACACAGTCCCAACACGGATCGTCGTGGCGTGGACTTGGTTCCTTTTTACTCCATTGTTATTAGGAGATCAGAAAGTGTTAGCAAGCATTCTTCACTGCTCGACAGTACTGTACTGAATCGTCGATGTTAACTGTAGAGGTTTTATCATTGACTATATAACACTAGTGTTATATAGTCAATGGTTTTATACATCGATGACTGTAATATCATACAGTAGATACAAATATACTGTAATATCCCTAGGGATTATGTTTGATCTATGGTGATATCCAACCTATCTGTAGGTTTTATCTTTCTGGGTTCTGAATTATTATGGTATTGTTGAGTTACTTGACAAAGAATTCTAAATTTTAGACCAGTTGATAGCTATTTTATAGCCTAGAAAGTAAAAAAATACCTCCGCCGCAGCAAACCTGCAGACTAAGTGAATTTAAGTTTGTCTGTTTGGAACCATAATATTTCCATAGATATTTTCCATAAGTAAGACATTTTTATTCCCCATTTAAATCACTTTAGATTTTGCGAGTACACATGTTTGCTACGGAGAAGGTATAACATGTTTTTTCACAAAATGTTAATAGAATAAGGTTAAATAAATACAATATAATAGGTTACGTACCTTATTCCGTCTTCAGCACAGAAAACGTACTACTATAACACAGAATGCCAACCGCATGGTAAAAAGCATTAAGCGGTTTGAGAGAGCTTTGCCTGTCAATCCGTAGGCAGCGCCACCAGCGTTGCCATGCAATAGCATAGCAACGCTGGTGGCACTGCCTACGGATTGACAGGCAAAGCTCTCTCAAACCGCTTAATGCTTTTTACCATGCGGTTGGCATTCTGGGTATAGTAGTACGTTTTCTGTGGTCTTCAGTCTTAACTTAGTCAATGCTGGATGACTAGTTTCGGGAACAAAGTCCCATTATCAAATCCTTATTTAAAACATCAATTGAATATGGTCAAATATCCGACGTAAGTCTTCATCAATGTATACATGCAGGTTGACGACACATAAAGTTTACACATTTTACATAAATATAGTTATCGTTATTGTTTTTGTAACTATATTTATGTAAAATGTGTAAACTTTATGTGTCGTCAACCTGCATGTATACATTGATGAAGACTTACGTCGGATATTTGACCATATTCAATTGATGTTTTAAATAAGGATTTGATAATGGGACTTTGTTCCCGAAACTAGTCATCCAGCATTGACTAAGTTAAGACTGAAGACGGAATAAGGTACGTAACCTATTATATTCAATTATCAGTCTTGGTGGCAAAGATGTTTAAATAAATGCATTTGGAAAATGTTATCAACATAGGCTACATCCATAAACAAGCAAATTACTACAGTTTTATATTTCTTCACAAGAACGGGTAACATGGAAATCTTCCTTATGCACAGTTTTTGGAAATTTACTCCGTAAGCTTTAATTTTCTTAAAAATCAGTTCCATCAGGTTTGAAAATCTAGTAAACCTCAGTTCCTCAACACGTATAGTATAGTATAGATAGTAGCATAGCATAGATAGTAAGGGTTTGATTACTGGATGTAATATTACAATCCACGAGGATTGTCGGAATGCCGCTTGAGCCATTGGAGCCTAGACGTTCTAACTCGTAAAACAATAAAAAAAAAAAAAACTAGAAACAAAATTTATAATCCCACAGTTTGCTATACATTTAAGCTACAACCACTCTGATGTTTGAAAAAAAAATATTTTGAGATGGTAAGTAACTCTTTAGCGGCTGTTTGCAATTAACAAAATTAACATTGCTCTTATGGCGGGCAAATCCAAGATGTCCGTTAGGTTCCATAGACTCCCTTGGAGAACAATTCAAAAGTACATAGAGCATTTCTAATCTCACAGTTTACTAGATATCTATAGACATATTATTAAACGAATTTGTTGGATTTTTTGTGCAGCAAATCGATTTCTAAATATTTATTTTTATAGGTATATTGAGTATCATTAATTTAAAACCCTCTATCTGGCGCTGGTCGATTTTCGACCACTAAAACTCGTGTGCATTGCAGGTAAAATCTACGCATACTGTTATAAAGATAGTTTCCTGTAGATGTGCATATGTGCGTAATCCCTTTATAAATTAGGCTAAAAAATAAGTACAAAAAATCTGTTTGAAATAAAAGAAATTTACATTGGTCTCATGGGTTGCTACGCTGGTGACGAAATGACAACGAAATACAGTATAAACAAAAAATCAAAACAAATGGAAGAAATTTCAATCCCACGTTTTATTTACAGTGTGGGGTCAAAATAGAGAAGTCTGAACATTGCATATTTTTGGTCGAGTTTTCGAACTCTTGACGACCACTGGTATATAATTAATATCCTATGCTCCAATATGAGCAATGTCTGTTTGTCTGTCTGTCTAACTGCCTAACTGTAATATATATCTAAAAATCCAGCGGAAGGATTTTGACTAAATTTGGAAATAGGGACTTAGGTATGTCAACTAAAAAAGGAAGGCTATTTCCGTAAATAAAGAAACATAAAAGCTAAAGAATCCATGTGGTACTTACTTTTGGAGTTGTTCTGGTTTAGACTTCTTTAAAGTGAATAATCTGATTTCATCTCCGGGGTATTTATCGTAGAAAGAGTAATTTTAATATAAAAATTAAACTAACACAGACTAAGTTTGTCGTCATATATGAAGTAAAAATAAAACACTCGGTTTTTAGAAGTGAATATTTGTTTTTATTTAATTAATTTAATTTACATGTGTCAGCTGATCGAATAACTCAAATAAACATTCCAACACTAAATTACTTGCAAAATGATATAATAGATTGTTTTTACAAAAAAAAACCTATTAGAAAATATAGTGATCTTTAGTGATCTTTATATATTTCCCATGTAGTGGCATAGATAAAACATATTCACATAGTAGATTTCTTTTCCTTATGGAACAGCTGAAGCCAATTTTATTGTTAGTTCTGTCCGGTTTTCTACAGATGTCGTGTTTTCTTTACAATTGGTTTCTTGTTATTTCAGTAAATTAAAACTTCGTTTAAACAAATAAAACTATCTAATCATAAACAATAACTAGTCCACTTGCTATATAACCAAACAGTGAGACTCATATAATGAGAAACTAACCCTAAAATAATAGGAACAAATTGGAAACAAAACACGACATCTACAGAAAAACCGGACAGAACTAACAATAAAATTTGCTTCAGCTGTTCTATAAGGATGGGAAATCTACCAAGGGACTATGTTTTGTGGGTAAAAAGAGCTTTAAAATGGCACCTCATTTATGGAAATTTGTGAAGAATTAAGGAGGTTATGGCCCTACAACAAAAAATATCTAAAAGGTACTTTAGATATTATAATAATATTATATAGATTCCATTATTTGGATGCATGAGATAGAATAA